TGTAGTGTAGAGGAGCAAGATCAAGGACACATAATATATTGTTTGCACTTGGGACGGAATTTGTATCATTATATCATTTATCGTATGGAGTGCAACAGGATGCTTAAATATAATATTACATCCATTCACATATGTCACATTGTCACCTCATACTATTTGAACAACCTTAAAATCTGATACTTCGACTTATGCCATTTACACAACCCTCACGTGGACGAGTCAGTATTCAGAATCCCCTGGTACCCATTAGCTAGGTGGCTGGATGGACCCCAGTGTGTGTCCAGATTCTATCAAGAGGAGAAAAATCTCTGAATGCATGGAATCAAACCCGGACCATCCAGCCTGTAGACCACTGCTATATAAAATAACCTATCTCGACTTCAGTTAGGTGTATGCTAATATGAATTTGGAGCTATGCTTCCATTTCCCCATACTTTTTCATGGTTTGGTGTTTACAAAGTTAAATCCAGCGAACATTTCAGATTACCTTAAGAATATCTTGACAAGATGAAAAAAATTGTCCTTCCACATTAACTTAATGCTAACACAGGAAAATGTGTTATTTTAATGTTAGGTTAGTTGCATGGACTAGGAAATCTGCTCACTCTTCTTATGTGCTGCAAAAACTGCAGGCTCAAATTTCTCTCTTCTTCTATCAGGGACACGTGTTGCAGGGCACCCCTGTAACTTTGGTGTCGTACTGCGGGTCGTCAGTTCCTTGTTCTTCTCCAGGGGTCTATCGACCACGTCCTGTTCATGGATTGTAGGAACTGTTTGTGTTGAAACAGAGATGCGTGTTGGAAGGCACCCCTGTAACTTTGGTGTTATACTGCGGGTGGTCAGTTCCTTGTGCTTCTCCAGGGCTCTATCGACCACCTCCTGTTCCTCATTGATTGTAGTGTTTGTGTTTCAACAGAGATGCGTGTTGCAGGGCAGCCCTGTAACTTTGGTGTCGTACTGCTGGTGGTCAGTTCCTTGTTCTTCTCCAGGGCTCTATTGACCACCTCCTGTTCCTCATGGATTGTAGGAACTGTTTGTGTTTTAACAGGGATACATGTTGCAGGGCACCCCTGTAACTTTGGTGTCATACTGCTGGTGGTCAGTTCCTTCTGCTTCTCCCGGGGTCTATCGACCACCTCCTGTTCCTCATGGATTGTAGGAACTGTTTGTGTTTTAACAGGGATACATGGTGCAGGGCACCCCTGTAACTTTGGTGTCGTACTGTGGGTTGTCAGTTCCTTGTTCTTCTCCAGGGGTCTATAGACCACCACCTTTTCCTCATGGATTGTAGGAACGGTTTGTGTTTTAACAGGGATACATGTTGCAGGGCACCCCTGTAACTTTGGTGTCGTACTGCGGGTGGTCAGTTCCTTGTTCTTCTTCAGGGCTCTATTGACCACCACCTGTTCCTCATGGATTGTAGAATGGTATGTCCGGATATACAACTAAACAACAACAATAATAATATTAATAATAATAAGTTATTAAGTACAACAAGAAACTTGTTTTCCAAAGTGATTAATGTGTCTTTGTTGTCAAGAAAAATGGGAACCAAACGTTATATGTGACACTTTATTAGTATGAGATGTTTGTTATTTTGCCTTATCCTGTATAGGCTATGCAATATAAATACTTGGTTATGACAGAAACACTGCTGCTGACCTCTGTGAATAAAGGTTACCCACACTGAAGAATGAAGTTCGTATAAATGGTATTTAAAATTCGACTTTAATCTCACAGAAGACACACTCTTTCTCCATGACAAAACTAAACTAGATAGACTTGAAAGGATTCTGACGATGGTGTATACTGTACTTCTTTTGGCTTGTTTCGGACTTCATCCATCGTCTGGTATGTAAAAGACTAAAGATCACAACGTTTCAGAGACTGGATCTGTCTCCATCCTCAGGTGGGTAGGGCAGGATAAACCTACTCAGTTGGGCCCATTAGAACGAGGTACTCTCAACCACTCAATCCAGGGTCTTAGTCCCACCCAACTAACAATAAAAAAGTCCCTTGTACTGTGGCCACTTCTGGCCTGTTGTACCAGCCCAAGATGATAGGTGAGGGTGATTGTGGAGTAATTAGTGGTATGAAGATTGGCAGGGGAAACCGAAGTACTCGGAGAAGACGTGCCCCAGTGCCACTTTGTCCACCACAAATCCCACTTGACCAGACCCGGGATCGAACCCAGGCCACCGCAGTAGGAAGCCAGCAACTAACCGGTTGAGCTATGGCGTGGCCCAGCACGTAGCTTAGTGATAGTGAATGTGGAGACAAATCTTAAGAAACTCACCTTTCTCAACGCACATGTAACCAGCACAAACAGGGCTGCAATTATAGTATACCACGCAAAGGGGGAGATGCTTGTGGAAACCTGCAACAAATACCAGAGCTGTCACATAAAAGTTATCTGTAATTTGTGTTAATGAGTAACTTCTTGACTGACTAGGCCAGTGGATGGCAGCTCTCTGCCCTGGAGCAGCACACAGCTGTTTGTCATCCTAATTGCTCCTCTTGAACATTTTAATGAATAACATGGGCAGAAATAAGGAAATAAAAAATATATATATATATAACCACAGGGGGAGAGACCTAGTTGCACTTAATCAATTTTAGTGGGAATGGTATTCCCAAGAAATTACAACATTCAAACATTTACAGTAAAGAAAATCAGGTCTGTCAATTTTAAAGCTGTTATACTGGGATTTCACTGAACATTTCAGTTATTTTGAGAGTTATATTGCACACAGACAAAAGAAAGACATTTCATGTCAGTTTCTTATGGGCTTAACATGTCTACAACAGCCCCTATCTAGACAAGTACTATCTTCAGGGATGCAATAGGGGGCACTCCAGCTGGCAGTTCGGAGGGTAAATACTGCCTCCATCATCTAGGTTTGAGAGTAAGCCAAGCAAGAATCCAGAATGAATCAGGCAGCATCAGCTTGCAGTCTGAGTCTTATTACTTTCCTTCTTGACTTACTCTTCGACCATGCAGATAGAGGTAGTGCGTTCCTCTGAAATGTCGGTGGCCTTCTTCATTACATCACAGAACACAGAGATCTTTGTAGTTATCACTGTGAGAATGTTAAATCCAACAAACACTAAATCACGATTTCAAGTTTGTCACAGGAGTTCATATCTTTAAAAATTATGACTATTACAAAACAAGTTTCAGCAAATAAATATGTACAAAAATATACAAATACATATTTAAAATTTGGATGTTGGGTATCATCAGCTCTGCTTTCTACCTCTCATGATCAAAGAGTGAAGGATTAGTTATTTCCCGTATTTATATATTAAACATGACATGGCAAGCCTTCCTTTCAGGTGCTTTAGAAAAGAGAGACAAAGAAAGTTAGGCCACTTTCTTATGGCTATTAAAATACTTTACCTCCGATATGTAAATATTCTTTTCTGTCTCAGGTGATGAATCCCACGCAGCCAACAGTAATGAATCCAGCTGCCGTTCCGAGATGTTGGGGAATATGCAGCGGTAGAGAGTTCGGTTCTGTCTGCAGAAAACCAATGTAGCTGCTGCCAGTACCTCTGCATGGCTGACATTTCGTGGGTATGCCGCAAGTCCCTGCACGACATACCCAGTTTTCAAAATAATGAAGTAAATTAATTGCGCCTAGGAGTATAGTCAAAGAAAAGTATATTCACAAACCACTGGATATAGAATGAGTCACATATCAGAACAAATGTGTTCCAGTTTTTTTTTAAAACCATATTGATTAGGATTTAGAATAACATATTTTTTAAGATGATTCTTCTTTCAAGAGAGGCTTTATTACGGAGTATTTTAGTCTCTCTGGAAATGAACCAGACTGTATTATTTTGTTAGATTATTTGTAACATATGGATTTATCATACAAGAATTGCTGAGAATTTAATTTACACTGAAAAGGGGATGAAAATAGATTTACCTTAATAACCCCTTTAATTACGTTATCTATTAAATGACAAGCAGAATTACTTCATTTAATTTAATTATATCTCGTTACAGGTGGTTTTTTAGATCTTTCGGATACTCTCACATTACTTAATATTACTTCTGTTAACCTTACAGCAGCAAGGACCTCACTGTCCGTCAAAGAAATGGGATACTTATTGTCCTTAATCCATGGTAGTGTAATATTATTATCCCGTCTATTCAGCTGTTCATCTATATACTGTCCAATAATTCTTATCACTTTTTCTTTCCCTTTAGAATTCAAGTGCATCCCATGATGGGTAAAATTTTCTTTATCCAAAGAGAGGTCAAGCAATTTTATGTGTGGCATAGTATTAATCAATTTTCCTAATTTTCTGTTAAGAGTCTGAATTTCATTGTTAATACAAGAAGACTTTTCCTGATCGTGTGTATGCAGAGCGGGAACAAGTATAAGATTAGTATATTGGTGCTATAATGCAAAATTAGTGATGAGTTTTAAACCTTTGGAGGGTTCACTTTTATTAATATCGTTGATCCACCACAGATGACACAATCCTCACAATTCAATCCTCTAATATCCATGTTGGCGGCTTTAGTTATGTTCAGGAGTCCTGCACCAGGCATCACATTTTCCATATCCTCCAAAGATTTGCCGTACTCGCGTAACAGATTTGCAGCAAAACCTCTTGCATAGCTATCACCAATTATTAAAATATTATTTGCTGCAGATCGAGCCAGTGTCTGTAATTGCTTAACCTTTGGTTTTTGATTGATATTATGATAATAAGGTGCTAAGTTTTCTTCTTTTAGGTACTCTAAAATTGCACAACAATTTACCACCGTTGGAAACTTAAATTGTTGATGTGAAACGGTGTCAATTTTTTAATGCCTTTTATACTGAGAAACAATTTTCCAGTTTGATGAAGGAGATACATCACTACTTGCATTAGTCACTGAATTTATTAATAATTAATATTGTCTACATTAAGGGATAATTGTACTTGATCTTCTAAAATTTTCACTATTTCCACCACCGATTTCAATTCACTAACAACCCTCTGCAATTCGTCTTTCAATTTTAGACAGCACAAGCATGGTGAATTAACATTTTCCTTAAAATTTTCCATTTCTTACAGCGTACTTGCACTCAACACTCTCAGGATCAGCCATGTTTAGCTATAAAACTCATTTTTCCACGACCGTCTCGACCAATCAGAGAGCCTAAACATGCCAATTTGAATACCCACAATTATATGCGGTAATCTTGGTGCGTTATATGAAAATTGGTAAGTATGAATTTTGATTTGATGTGGTTGCGAAAAGAAAATAGACATTTGCAAACGAAATAACAGCTCCATGTTGAACATATTATTTGTGTATATGAATATTATGCTTACTACCACAAATGGAAGTAGAAACGTATAATTCTTTCAGGCCTAAAATTTTTGAGGTTATCATTCATTCATTTCCTTTATTTTCCATATATCTATACAGGCAAAAAACCTAAGATGTGGAAATAGTCCCTTTGATAATAGATGTATACATGTAATAAATTACATAAGTCACACAACTAAAATAATAACAATAATAATAATAATACACACACTAGTCAAGTAACATAGGCAATAGAAAAAAAAACAAAAACAAGAAGCTTATTACAATTGTAATTACTAAACATAATTTAAAAAGTGCATTACTATAAAAACTTAGAATTAATACAATTTCACTCAGATTGCCCAAATAGTTAAATGCTTTCTTTATTTCATTTTCCCATAAATCAAAAAAACACTGATACAGGACTCGTCATATATATACATACACATCCTCAACTTTCCATAAACATCTATACTGGGAACAGACCCAGGATGCGGAAATAGTCATCAAACACATACACAGAGTAACACAAACCACACAACCAAGATCACCCACATTAACTGT